TACTTTGACACTCCTGCACTTGGGAGAAGACATCAATCTTTTAGTCGTGTCAAGTGGTTTTTGGATAGTGCTTGCTTAAGGTATATGATCGAAGATGATTTATTATTTTTAAGTATTACCAAAATCAATGAAGAAAAAGTCATTTTTGAAGACAACTAAAAAAAAATCATTGGAGTTGGCAATATTAAATGTAAATCTTTACCTTCGATTAAGAAGGTATTTCTTGTTAAGAAATTATAACATATTTTTATTAGTATTACTCAATTGCGTGACAAAGATTATAAGATTATGTTTGACTATATATGTTGTTTGATTCTTGAAAACAACAAAGTAATCGTTATAGAAAACAAAAAAGGCAATATTTACAAGAATAAAAATGATGCATATATAAGAATAGAAAATTATCTTATTTCTAGTTAAAAGTTTTATTTGACATAAAAAACAAAATTATATCAGCATAAATATTCTTTCTAAACTAGTTAAGAATGAACTCGTCAAAAAGTCTTTCATATATTGTATTTAAGAAAGAAAAGCTATATAATGCTTGTTAAATGGACAAACTAGTGAAAACATCATTTAAAAGCAATAGTCACATCTTAGCCGAAAGACCTATAAAATTGCTATACATTGATCTTTTTGGACCAACTAAAAATAAAAGGTTAAGTGATAATAAATATGTATTTGTGATTGTTGATGATTTTATAAGATATACATTGGTTTAAAAAAAAATCAAAAGTTGAAACTATTTATGAATTTGTTAAGTTTTCGAATAAGATTAATGTGGACCTAATGTTCAAATTATTTGCTTTAATTTCATCCTCAAACTCTTTTTTTTCTTGTGATTGTATCCTTTGTTTTAGCTAAATTAAAGAGCAATTGCATCAAATGTTTAAGGATGAAATTAAAAGATAGAGGACCAAAACAGAAAAAAGGTTATAAATGGATAACGATCTCAAAATTCACATAAAAAGTTTAATTTAGTCCTCATACTTTAAAAATAATAAATATTTGGTAACTCAATATTTTTTTAATTTAATTTTAGTATAAAAGTTTATTTTATTTATTTTTTATTCTCTGGTTTGAGAGAAGAGAGAGAGTGGTCACCGAATTTTAATGTAGAGAGAGAAAAATATTGTAGATGTCGATTTTGGCCACCAAAACAGTTAATTTTTATGTTAAATGGTTTCATTTGATGAGAATAATTTGTATTATGTGATTTTTTTTTTTTAACATGAGACATATAAGCTTGAAAAGACTTTTGGTATTGGGTAGATTTCAGGGTTTAGAATGGTTTTTTATGTTTTTTAGACCATGGATATATTTATCACGGTTTCTAGGTTAGTTTTTTGATGTTTTGGATCAAAATGGTTTTTAGCCATAATTTTCCGAACACAATAGTGACAAGACTCTAAGAAAATCAGACAACCTGTCATCTAATTTTTTTATTTAAAAAAAAAATAGAGCAAATGACATGTCGTTAGCCTCGGATGAAAAAAAAGAAAAGACTCATGCCTATGCTTGGGCCTTAATAAAATGGGCCAGGAGGGCTAGTCTACTTTGCCAGGTCGAGCAGCGCCTAGTTTTTTTGTTGTTTTTTTAAATTATTTTAAAAAAAAAAAATTAATGCTTTTTTCTATTTTTTAATTATTATTATTTATTTATATTTAGATCAATATTTCTTCTCTCTTTTAGTTTTGTTTATAAAATCTCTTTTAAATGACATATATTTTTTATTATTTTGTATGTGTTTAATTTCTTAAGAGATTTTTTTATTTATCTATAATTTTTTTTATAAATGCACTTTATTTTTTAAAATAAAAAATATTTATTTTCAAATTTTATTTCTAATATGTGCAGCTTTACATAATATTTTTTTTCTTTTTTATTTTATTCAATGAATTTAATGGGTGTGTTTATTTCTATTATTGTTTAAATAAATAGAAATTTATTTTAATTAATAAATTTAGCAAACACATTACAAATATCCTGTCTTGTAAGATTAAATATCTTGATTTATACATGCCTCTTGATTTTTCATGTTTTATTTTTTGTTATTGTTTTTTATTTTTTCAGTTATTAACACATTTTTCTCAATTTATTTGATTACATGTATGCATAAATTTTTTATTTTTATTATAATTTTTTAAATTACACAAATATGTAGAAAAATCTCGTGTATACAATTTGTTTTAAAAAAATATTTATTTAAAATGATTTTTGTACTTGATACTATTTTCTCATACCATTAGAGAATACATCAGTATAAAACCATGTTGGTAATGAGACAAAGGGAAGTAATAGGGATACAGATGCTTTTTTGGTATTTGTTAGTAAACTAAAAGCATCATAAAATCAATGAACTACAATATTAATTATAAAAATAAAAATATTAAGTTATAATTTCATTTAAAATAAAAGGATTAAATTTACACAACACCCATTTAATAATTATTTTTAACATATATTAAAAAACCTTGACATTTTATTAAAGCGATGAATAAGGTTTTTACAATTTGATCCTCAAGCTTTACTAAAAAGCTTTGGCATTTTCACTATATTAGCAAATAATGAAATATTTTGGCCTTCTACAATTTGATATTTAATATTTTTTTATTATTTTTTTTAGCAAATTTATTTTTTAATGTTAAATTTAAAGAGTATTGAACTTCATAATTTATTTTAATTTATTTTTTATGGAGTTATCTTAGTTTTATGACCCGAGTTTAGTAGATTATTATGAGTTGACTTGGCTAACTTTTTTTCTTCTTTTTTTAATTGATTTTTTTCATAACTTCATCCATTAGCATTGTGTTAATTGATAATTTGACTTTATATTTTTTTTATTAACTTTCAATGGGGTTATCATGGTCTCATGACCTAAATCGCAAGTTTTGCGGGTTAATTGGATTCGTCCGGGTTTTTTTGTCCCTTTTCTAATTGATTTTTTTTTTCAATTCCATCATTTAGTATCGGGTTAATTAAGAATTTGACTTTATAATTTTTTTGTTTTCTTTCTATAGAATTTTCTCGATCTCATATTCGAGTTTGACAGTTACCTGGGTTGGCTCATGTTATATTTTTTGTTTTTCTTAATTGATTTTTTTCAATTTAATCTTTTAACATTTAGTTGATTGATGATTGTGCTTCATAATTTTTTTTATTTGTTTTTTAACGGATTATCATGATTTCATTACTCGGGTCGTGGTTAACTTGATTTTAATTTATTTATTTTTCAATTTTCATCTTTTATTCATCCTTCAACATCAGGTTGATTGAGAATTGAGCTTCATAATTTATTTCAACTTTCTTTCTATATGGTTATTCCGGTCTCATGATTAATTTTTCGCAACCTTACCCAGGTTGACTCGACTTATTTTTCTAATTAAATTTTATTTTTAATTTTATTTTTTAATATTGAGTTAATTGAGAATTATATTTAATGATTTATTTTTTCTACTAGGTTAGTAGGTCTTATGACTTATATTAAAGATTTAATAAGTTAACCTGAGTTGATTTGAGTAAATCTAAGTAGATCTAATGTGTTGCTATCTTTATATAAAGAATGATAGTCTTGATTTTTTTTAGTCATGCTATATTTTTATCGATTGTTCAGGTTGTTTTTTAACATGCAAAGTTAACTATGTCACATTGAGTCAGCCTATACATATTTTAATTTGTTTTTTGTTCAACAAAATTTAATTAAATCCACAACATAACACATTCAGTTATCTAGTAATATTTATTTATTGTTCAAGTTTGATAATATATAAAAAGTAAAAAAAAAACTTTATATCTCAAGTAATTTACTTGTGTGTTTGGTATTGTGATATAATATATTTTTTAAAAGTATATACTAAAATTATCTAAAAATATTTTTTAAAAAATTAATTTATTTTTTAAAAAGAATAATAATTTAAAAATAAATTATATATATATATTAAAAAAACAAACAAACAAACCTTAATACAAAGATGGCTTGTCTCGCGTCCAAACCAGATAGTAACCGTATTCAATGCATTATTGTTTTGTTTTTGTTCGACTTCAAACTTAAAATCAATTACCTCGACAAAAAAAAAAAAATCAATAAATTATTTTATGATGATAAAAGAGCCAAAATAAGTCAGATTGCCAGACAACAGGTATGGTGGTTGAGAAAGACCCTGTTAGAGACCTTCAACTCCACCAAGTCCTCCATTTGAACGGAGGAGATGGAGACAATAGCTATTCCAATAACTCATTACTTCAGGTGATCTCTCTGTATGTGTCTTAATCATGGAAATCAGATTTTCCTCTAAAGCCTAAGTTATTTTGTAGAAACAGTACTAATGGCATTAATCTTTGCTTTCTTGTTTTTTCAACAGAAGAAGGTGATGTTAAAGGCAAAGCCCATTCTACAAGAAACAATTCTGCAGCTGTACGGCAAGAGTTTCCCAGAGTGCATAACAATGGCAGACATGGGGTGCTCTTCAGGACCAAACACTTTCCTGCCAATATGGGAGGTCATAGAGGCCATTGATGAAACATGCCGCAAGTTGAATCGGAAGCCTCCGATTTTGCAGGTGTTCTTGAATGATCTTCCAAGGAATGATTTCAACTCCATCTTCAGGTCATTGCCAGGTTTTCATAAGAAACTTGAGGAGGAGATGGGTGGCAAGTCTGGGCCTTGTTTCATAGCTGCCATGCCTGGAAATTTCTATGGGAGGCTTTTTCCAGCTCGTTCCCCTCACTTTGTTCATTCTTCTTATAGTCTCCACTGGTTCTCTGAGGTCAGCCATTCAGCTATAGCTCACAAGTTGTTAGTAGAATAGAATTATGCTAACATGCATTTCATTTCACCAAACTATGCACGAAAGATTGTTCAGTTTGATCCGAATTTTCAAGTATCAAAAAACTGATTTTGATTCCAGAAAACGCTGGCTCCCAGCTGTCTGAAAAACAGACCACGTTCCTTTCTGTTTTTAACACAAAAACTAAAGCTATTTTAATTAAAATATATTAAAATTGACATCACATGCAAGTTCAGTTTTCACAAGTTATTGTCATAGATATGAAATATTTAAAAGGAAGTGAATTAATGTTTATAAAAGCAAATGCTCAAGCTGTACCTTAGCTAGACCTATCCCATTTAGTGTGTTATGTGCCCAACCCATCCACTCTGCATTTCTTTCTGACAGCGAAATCTGGAGTCCACTGGTTTTTGGACATGCTAATAAATGGCTAATTAAGTCTAGTGTAGTGCATTTTCTGTTCAAACATTGCATAAACTGTGCTTGCTCTACCAGGTACCGAGAATTCCACTGAACAAAGGGAACATTTACCTGGCAAAGACAAGCCCTCCTGGTGTCCACAAGGCATACTTGGATCAATTTGAGAAAGACTTCACAGCATTTTTAAGATCCTGGTCAGAAGAGATGATTCCTGGAGGTTGTATGGTGCTTACCATCTATGGAAGAGATGAGAACAATGATTCTTCTGTCAAACACAGCCCCACCATCTGGGAATTTTTTGGGATGATGCTAAATGACATGGTATTAGAGGTAACCACGCTCGTAAATCACAAAGGACCAGATCAATGCTGTTAAATCATAGACTCATAGGTGTAGAGGCACTTGTAAATACTAAATTAATGTCTCCCTTTTGCTGATTAGTTGATTTGGAGCTTGCTGTGCATATGCAGGGATTGATTGAAGAATCGAAGCTGGATTCCTTCAATATTCCATTCTATGGAACGTTAGCTGAAGAAGTAAGAGATGTGATTCAAGCAGAAGGATCTTTCACCATCAAACGGCTTGAATCCTTCCATGTAAGTTGGGATGCAAGCATCGATGATCGTTACAGAGATACAATGGATAAGTATACGAAAGGCAAGTTCGTGGCAAAGAGAATGAGAGCTATTATGGAGTCCATACTAGCAAGGCATTTTGGAGACGAAATCGTTGATGTTATGTTCCAAAGATTTTCGATCAAGATAGGAGAGTACATGGAAACAGTCAATGGTGCATACAACAATCATGTAGTTTCCATGGCTAAGGCATGAATCCTTCCTTGGATTTCTCAGTTGTCATCGGATGACGACTCTCTCGGTTTTAAATAATAATATTCTAATGTTAAAAAACTCACTCATTTCAATAAAAATGTTTCTTTATAGAAAAAAAAAATATAGTAAGAATCACTATTCAATTAGTTAATTAATTTTATTCAATTTATAGAAAAAAATTATTTACTCTAATTCATTCATTTTTATTTGTTGTAAATTATTAAATTGTATAAAATAATTTATTGTTTATTTTGAGATATTTACTTTTTCATATTAACTTGATAAAAGGAAAAAAAACAAACTTCTAATACAATTACATTTTTAAAAGTATTTTTAAAAATTAATGTGTCTGAGAGATAAAATGTATTTGAAAATAAGTATAATAAAAAATTAAAATTATAAAATATTTGAAAGGATAATTTAAAAAAAAAATTACTTCATTTTATCTTTATCCCAATATCGATCTCTCATTTTTAGAGAGATGAAAAATTGACTAAAAATTACCTATGAGATTAAGAGTTTTGCCTCCATCTTCATAATCAAATATGTTTCAACCCCAACTATATCCATCATTTTAATCTTGAGATTGTAACAAATATGTTTGGTTGGTCCCAATATCGATCTCTCATTTTTAGAGAGATGAAAAATTGACTAAAAATTACCTTAAACATGTTTAATTAAAAAGATAGAGATAAAGATATAAAATAAAATTATCTCTATGATATTTTTAAATTAAATTTTTATATTTTTAAAACAGAAAGTACAAGGAGAAATGTCTCTATTATTTTTATTCTTTCTATCTTTTATATTTTAAAATAATAATCAAAAACTATATATATATATATATATATATATATATATATATATATATATGTATATCTTTGAAACCTTTATTATTGTGTAAAAATAGTACTAAGGGCACCAATATTTGCTTTCTTGGTTTGTCAACAGAAGTGAAGTTAAAGTGCAAAATATTGGAAAGAAGGGATTAGTGAAGAAAGTAGGATGAAAACATATACCATTTATATAATATTACCCTTCTAAAAAAGGAAGTTTCATAAACTTGAATTTAGATTACAATACTTTCAATACATGTATTAATTTATACTAATAATGTAGAGATAATTTTAGAGACTTAAAGGATAACCATATTAATAATACATTACACATGTACTTAAAAACAAATTAAAAGAACACATTGAATTTAAACTTTAAAATTAATTTCAACACTCCCTCTTAATTTTAAAAATCTTGTATTTCTTTAAATTTAAAAAATTACAGAATCATTTTTGCCATGAATAATGCACCTCTCGATCTTGTTGATAACAAATACTTCCGAAGCCTTCTTTTATTCTTTTAGATAGCCATATTGGTACCATTATTTTTGGATTTTTCATTTCATCTTGTGAAGATATTCCTTGTATCTTTATGTTGAGAATTCATTTTAAATAAATTAATTATGAGTGAATAAAAAATTAATTTAAAAAAGAAATTGATTAATTATGAGTGAATAAAAAATTAATTTCAATTTTTTTTTTATTTTTTTGTATTTAATTTTTGATTTATAGTGGCTAATTAATTGTTGATAATGGTAAGAATTAATTCTTATTAATTGTTCGATATTTTAGCTTAAAGAAATCACTATAAAAAGGGGGATGAATCAAGATTTTCAAACTTGATTTTTTCATATTTTTCAACACTTTTTCTCATTTTATTTTTAGTGTATTTCTACAAGGTTTTTATACTTTAATTTTTATTTTAAATCTAGAGCTTAGGTAAATCTTGTTGATAAATATTTAAGTTACATAATCTTTAATTCAAAAACCTTATTTAGAAGTATATCTAAACTAGTTACATAATCTTTAATTCAAAAACCTTAGGAGTATATCTAAACCAAGTTGTTAGAATATTGACATAAATATTGCTAATATTTTAATTGCACAAGTGAGAATTAATAAAGTTTTAGAAATAAATGACTGTTTCTTTATAACAATAAAAATTTCCATCTTTTAAAGTATTTTAATAAATATATGCTCTTACTTGTTTTTTATTCAAGTATTATTATTTTTATTATTAATATACATGTTAAGACTTCAATCTTGTATATATTACAAGTTATAATATATATACTTAGCATTCATGCTGGAGTTCTATTATTATTATTATTATTATTATTGATTAAACATGACGAATCATAGCCATTATCCTCTTTTTTATACCCATTGACACATTTTTATACATAGTCAACTCTTCACTATAATGACTCATCTGCTGTTTCCCACTCCTCTAAGAACTCCTCTATCCTCCCTTTCATATGTAATCTTTTTTGTCCTGTCTCTTTTACGAGAGGATTTGTCAACTTGCACTGAAACTCTATCCTAAACTTCAATTTTTTAGACTTCATACCTTGCATCTCTTGTTTTTTATTTCGCCTCTCCATCCACTCGCCCTTGGATTTATTGCCTTTATTATTTCTTTCTCCCTTTATTCAACAAATATGCTCTAGCTAATCTCCTAAACGATACCATTTTATTGAAAAAAATTGGAGCAGGTGAGAAGGAAAACATGGTGAAAAACGAACTCTCATAGCACAAGAAAAGCCCTGTGCATTTTATTTACATTACAATACTTTCAATACATGTATAAAAGTAACTCCAGAGACTCAAAGGGTAACTATATCATTAAACATGCACTTGAAACAGCTAAAACGACGCATTAAATTGACAATACATACCTGCCTATGTCCCAAAAGAGCTGACAGTATTTTGCAGATCAAACGTTGATGTACATGATCGATTGATGCGTCTCTACTGATTAACAAATTCAACATGACATTATCAAAATATACACAGGAAACCTTATCCAGTTTCAAAGATGATTTCCCTCGTTTACCACCATAGGAAATCAAAACTCATTCCATAGAAACAGCACACATTAACACATGATCATTCCCAGACATCAACTTCCAATTGCATCCACACAAGGAGTGAAAAAGAAGATGTCATCAAGCCGGTCATTACTAGGGGAGTTTCCGCCACACACCAAGAGCCCCTGGTTGCCGTTTAGGCAACCGCCAGCAAAAGCACACCAACCACGAGGCCCCGGATGATCATCGAAACCCAGACCATCATTCAACCTCTTCCAGATTAGAGTATCAGTGTCCAATGCATATGCCTCACTTGCAAATTTTCCAGCACCAAGGTGGCCCAAGTCACTAGGGTCTACTTCGCCACCAGATATGATTATGTATTTCCCAATCCCGACCGTAGAAAACACACTTCGAGCAGATGGTTTTTCCCCGCTGGTGTCGACTTGAGTCCAGGTTCCCTGGATCGGATCAAAGCAATGCACATCATTCATCTCCACCCCGGAAAAACCATAAACAACCCATATCTTTCCCTGTGCCACAGCAAGCCCAGGCCCACCTCTGCCCTTGCAATTGTCACCTGGTGTGGGATACTTGACCCACTTCTGTTCAATCACATCATACTCCCACAGATCATTAAGCCGGCCAGCAACACCACAGCCACCAAAGATGTACACGTGTCTGTCATCGGATGCAGTTGCATGGTAGCTCCGGTGAGGGGGCCCAGCGTCACCACTTGATAGCAGAGTCCACTGATTAGTAGAGGTGTCAAAAGAATAAAGCTCATTGAGCTCCTTGTGTGTGGCATCCCTGCCACCAAACACATAGATTGTTTTGCCAACGGTGGCCATTGCGACTCCAACACGTGGTGGAGGGATATCTCCGGTTCCATCAGCCACGGACCAAGTTAGAGTCTGGAGATTAAAGACATGAAGTTTGTTGTCAACTGGGACACGAGGTGCAAACTCGCCGCCAAAAGCATAGGCCTCGTGTCCTACTAGGGTTATGGCATGTGAACTCCTGGCTCCAAGCCCCGTTCCTTTCTGGTTAAGCTGATACACAAATTTCAACAAAATCCAATTATATTAGAGTTGGTGATAGCTTGAGATTCATGGGATTTCCTAGTTTTGTTCTACCTATTGACAATTGTAATCAGATTCAGTTAAACAATCACAACTAAAATAGATTCAACCCTAAAACACATTGGGTCGAATTACCATTACCTTGTTTCTACATTTCAGAAACAAAAACTACTGTTGATGCTTCAACTGGTGCGAAGATAACTCTTACAGTTGAAACAAAATACGAAAACCACCATTACCAATTATGATGACAGAGATATGTAATAAAAGAGTTATATTTATTAATCAATCAAGGGAATGGAGAAGAAACAAGAAAGAATTCACCACATATCATGGTTGATGAAACAGACTAATTTGACTCAAATTAATTGGGACCAAGAAATTAACGCACTAAAACTACAACTAAAGATTTTTTTGTGATAGTATGAAACTTTGGAAAGCAAGTAAAAGAGAAGTAAAAAAGAACTGATTACCTTGACCCATTTGCCTTCCACCACAGCCATCGTGCGTGTCGGGTGAGATTCTTGATGTTTTTCGATGGGCATATCACCTTAAATTTATAGAGGCTGACAACAATGTTCGGTCGTCTTCGTTACAACTACGTATATACACTTAGCTTTCCTTTTATTTACCAAACTGCCTCTCTTGGACTGGATCGGATATTAAATTACAAGATTCCTTCTCGGTGGCAAGGGACGTGCCGTTCTGCTACCCCGGGCCCTATCCTCCTATTTTAAAAAAAATTAAGTTTTTTAAAATTATTTTTTTATATTTTAAATACTAATATTAAAATTAATTTTTTAAAAATAAAAAGAAATTATTTTAACATATTTTAAAATAAAAAATACTTTAAATTATAACTATTATCACAACTAACTATTATCACAACTAGAACAAAAATTAAAAATAAAACTAATTAAAAAATCCAAATTAATCATCACCAATACTAATTCATTGTACTTGAAAATTTAAAATTATCAATATAGTTATTAGAATATTTTAAGTATTTAAATTTTTTTTATTGTTTTTGTTCGGAACGCACTTTTACATCAAAATCAATAAAATTTAGAGTGATTAATAAGAGGTTTTTTATTTTTTATAAATTTTTAA